AACAAATGGGAGCTAAAAGGCCTATGGTCTGCCGGTTCACATCAAGAGTATTCATTTTACATTTTAACTCCCAATTCGACCTAGCTTTGGCCTTTTATCCTTTATACCCTTTTGTTGTCAAAGATAGAGTCAGTTTTCAAAAGATCGTTATTTCTCACTTTTTCAAATGATGTCTATTCTTCGTCTTGCAAGATTCTTATTCTTGACTTCACGAGATATTATTCCTCACATCTCACTATCGTCGAGCCTAACTGTAAAATTCCGTCATTCTGAAGCCAATTTATAAGATTTTGATAGTTCGAGAGCTATTCATGGGATATTTATTCCCCGCCTCATCAAATACTTATTTTTACTTTGCGAGATATTTAATCTTTGCCTCTCACTACCATTGAACTTAGTTGTACGACCTCATTATTCCAACACTAGTTTTATAAGACTCCGATAGTTCAATAGCTATTCGCGAGATGTTTATTCCCCTCACCTTCTGAGATGCTTAATCCTGGCTTCTGAGATGCTTATTTCTCGCTCACTATCGTCGAGCCTAGTTTTGAGACCTCGTCCATTCAAGGTCAATTTATAAGTCTCCAATAGTTTGAGAAAGCCACCAGCTCGATATTCATTCAACGCTCTACGAAGATGTCTCGTTGTACGAGTGGCTGCATTATACACGATTTATATTCTAAAGAACTCATCATGCCTTTACATCGACTACATTACAGCTACCTATCTTTCAAAGCTTTGCTTCTGCTTCACTTATATTACATCTACTTATCTTCTGCGAACTTATATTATCCCATACATAAATGAGTCATCCATCATATAAGAAACCCTTGGCATGGATGAACCACCTACCATGCAAGGATGTCATTTACAACTTTGTTAATAGAGAGGTAGGCCCACCTTAATATCTATGAAGACTAAGCCTTACATGGTGAGAACCATGGGAGAAATCTCTTCATGAATGAACTACCTACCATGCAAGGAAGCGTGTGCCCTTCGACAATGAGCTAGCTCCCAAAGGGGACACCTCCTAATTCGTCAAAGAATCACATGCCTCAATAGCTATTCGCGAGATATTTATTCTCCCACTTTCTCAGATGCTTAATCCTAGCTTCTAAGATGCTTATTTCTCGTCGCTCACTATCGTCGAGCTTAGCTTTAAAACCTCGTCCACTCAAGGCCGGTTTATAAGTCTCCAATAGTTTGAGATCCACCAGCTCGATATTCGTTTAACGCTTTATGAAGATGTCTTATTATACGAGTAGCTGCATTACACATGATTTATATTCTAAAGTGCTCATCAAGCCTTTAGATCGACTACTTTACAGCTACCTATCTTTCAAAGCTTTGCTTCCGCTTCACTTATATTACATCTACTTATCTTCTAAGAGCTTATTTATCCCATGTATAAGTGAGTCATCCATCATACAAGAAGCCCTTGGCATGGATGAACCACCTACCATGCAAGGATGTCATTTACAACTTCGTTAATAGAAAGGTAGGCCCATCTTAATATCTACGAAGACTAAGCCTTACATGGCGGGATCAAACACCATGGGAGAAACCTCTACATGAATGAACTATCCACCATGCAAGGAAGTTTGTGCGCTTTGATGATGGGTTGCTCCCAAAGGGGACACCTCCTAATTCGTCAAAGCATCACATACCTCCATGTACAAAAATGCATGGAACAAGCCTGTGTATAGATAAACCATCCACCATGTAAGGAAGCATGGACACTTAGATGAAGAGCTGGATCCCTAAGAAGACCACTATCTAATTCGCCAAAGTGAATATCACTTGCCTCCCATGTACAAAAAGTTATGAGGGAAGCATCTGCATGGATGAACCTTCTACCGTGTAAAAAAACGTGGGTCCAAATGGGACCACCTCCTAATTCGTTGAAACGGTTAGCACATGCCTTCCATAAATAAAAGATTATAGAAGAATTCTCTTGGTTGAATCATCCAAGCATAAAAAGGAGCATACATTCAAACCTCCAAAGATGACCTTCAAAAACATTTAATTTTCACTTTAGCATAGACTTCAAATTTCAGCTATATTAAAGCATCTCTTCACTATTTCAAAGCCTCATCTCTGCATCAAATTTCAACAAAATTAAAGCATCACTTCAGTATCTTCAAAGCAACTTAACATTTAGATTAAGGCTTTTACATAAATTAAAAGCTTTCCATGAAAGATCATATTTTCTTAACTCCAACCATGATATAAATATTTATACCTGGATTTAGGGAACTATTGTAATACTAGTATCTCAGTATCATTACATTATTACTGCTATCATACGCATTATATTATTGCTGCCAAATACGAATGCCTCATCGTTGGTAGCATGTCATAACACTAATTTTATTGTCAGTACGCATAACACGTTGTCTACGTTATCGTTTTATAGACATAATGTTACTTGCTTTATGCTAACAAGTTTGATCTGATCATCATTTTACCTTATTAGGAACAATACCTAGGGGTCAACAAGCCAAGCAAAAAAACTCGAGCTTTTTTAGACTGAAATTTGGAGGCTTGAATCAGCCATTTGATAAATTATATGTGATATCTATCTTTCGAGGCAACATGTAAGCCCTCACTTATTCAAGCTTGCACATATATTTTCTGAGGTAGTTCGTAAGTCCTTACTTATTGGAGCGGCTTATATTCTCAAGGCAATTCGTAAGTTCTCGCTTATTTGGAATCAATGCATATTATTTGAAGCAATTTGTGCTTCCTCACTTATTGGAGACGCTTATATTTTTTAGGCAATTTGTAAAACCTCATCTACTTGACTACTTATATTTCGAAACCCAACCCACGTATGAATGTACGTCTTAAACTTGGAAGTCTATTGTTGCACCTATAAATTGCGTGGTATAAACACGTCGGAAGGGTCCCATACATATTGACGTGGCATGAACTATTCAATTGGATTGGCCTATTTAATCAAGCAACATCATATTGGGCTTGGAGCTTAGCCCATTATGCCTCAGTCCATTTATTTCATCATATATTTAAGTTCACTTCACAATAAGATATATTATTCTAATCCTAGTCAAACCTCCTTTCCCATCTCTTGCACTCATTTTCTTTCGTCTGACCGTTGACTTGACGGTCAAAGTGCAAATGATCATTGGACATTCTTCTTTATCGGTGGTTTTGCCTCCTAACATGGTGCTTTAGTGTGGAGGTCACACTTACGTGAAAGATATGTGGTCGGGATTCTATTGGCACATTTTTTTAGGTCAACACCATACCCACTACAAAAACACATCGTCAACTTGTGTACCAAATTTTCACAACTATAGTAATTGACTCGATTGTTATGCTTGAAGTGGCTACCTGCCAACTTCTTATTGCCCAAACTCATTAAATCACCTCCAATGCAACAATGTGCATTGTTGCATACGTGGCACGAAAAATGGGATTGAAGATTAGAGTATCTTCATTGGGAATGTAAACTGCATTAATTATGAAGTCATATGTAAAAAAATTTAGTAGACATGTCTTTCACTTGTCTGATAGACATCTTGCATTTAATTTTTGGAAAAAGATACTTGGACAGGCCACGTAGGTCCTGTCTGTCAAGCATTTCTCTTAATTTTTTATAATTTATTTTTAGTGGAAGATGGATGGTGTGGTAGATAGCAGCAAACTTTTTTCTTGCCGTACAAACATTTTAAGGTGATGTTGCACAATTGTTGGTGAAGTTCGCATTATGATCACAGTCACCATGTCCCTTTTTTACATATTTTTTGATGAATTCTTTATTAATGTTTGTTCATCAGAATTGCGAACCAAATTTAAATGTCAAAAATTATGGTTCGGATGTTTAAAACAAGATTCAATTTTTTTTTTCTTTTTTTTAAATGAGGTTTCGAAATACCCAACCCCACCCCTTAAAAAAAAATAATAATAATAAAAAAATAAAAAAAATAGAAGGACCAAAAGAACATGAGATATTGGTTGAAAGCTAAAGAAAAGTAAACATGAAAAAACTCATAAAATCCACTTAGCTTACTCGTACAATGGAACCAAAATAACATGCAATTTTGACCAATTTTAAGAAACAGTAAAAGACAATAAGTCCTTGTCTAAGTGCCATTTTTTGGTCAAAATACATTTTTGAAATTGTGTTTTGTTGGAAAATGTGTGGTTAAAAATAAGAAAAATTTGGGTTTATGTGTAATATTATTTTATGAAAGAATGTGTGGTCGGAAATGAATTTGAGAAAAAATGAGATCCAAACATAGAAATCATATCAACAAATCATACTCACCTACCCATGGCTTTCACTTTCTAAACTCACTAATTTTGATACTCAAATAGTAGCAAGAAGGGAAATAGCTATTTGAGAGAGAGATAATTGAACTGGATGCCTTCTTCAAATAATGGGATATTTATAGATCTATGTCCTAGTTTTTGGGTAATTTGGTCATCTTCGAGGCATGACAAATGGCGGTTTCTCATTGGCTTCTTAATAATTGATTTCATTACAAATATCTTACTTTACGATGTGTTGACGGCCTTTAACAAGTCTAGATGAAGGGCATCTCATTATGTGAACCCTTCATGCTTTCTTTCCCTTGACATATGGTTACATACTTTGCAAGGAATGCAGTTTGGTTTGCGGAGCAGATTTTTGGAGTTAACTTATGAAGTGAGAAAATAAATAAATAAATGAATAAATAAATAAATAATAATAATAACTCTTCTTCATCTTTTAAAAACTTCAAGATTAGGTTGCCACATACAATAGACCATTTTAGTGTTACATATAAAGTTGGACACCAACATAGCTAACCTTTTCCACTAGTCTTGGAATCTAAAGCCTACGTCTGCCAAGTGCCAACCCTTTAAAAATCAACAAGCTATCTCAAGTTAATAGAGTAGGAGAAGTTGGTAAACCAAATACCCCACGCCCCTAACTACCCCGCCGCCCGAACCCCATATAAAGCAAACCCATAATAGATCTGTCCATTAAGCAGCAACTTTTCTCCATCCACAGACATTTTTCCTACAACAATTCATTTCATACTTACTGTATCCAATGGCAGCGCAAAAAGTTGCAATGGGCATAAGCTTGATTCTTGTAGCCGCCAAGTTTTTGGGTGGCATCGATGGCCAGTCAAGCGATTGCACGAATTCGATTGTTAGTATGTCGCCATGCCTAAATTACATCACAGGGAACTCATCGAGTCCGTCCCCAGGATGCTGCACACAGCTCGGGACCATAGTCCGATCACAGCCCGAATGTTTGTGTCAAGTACTTAATGGTGGTGGCTCCTCACTTGGCCTTGACATAAACCAGACACAGGCTATAGCACTGCCTAAAGCCTGTAATGTCCAAACTCCACCTGTCAGCAAATGCAATGGTAATCATCCTCATCAGACCTTTCCTCTTTCATTCTTTTTTATTCTCGTTCTGTTTATAAATGCCCTCGTAATTAGGGATTAAGGCTTAATTCTTGACTATAATTTTATCGTTTATGCAACTGGTACGCCATCAGGATCTCCCAGTACACCAAATTCTCCAAACGCTAATCCTTCTGGTACATGATTTAGTCTGTAATAATTTAATTATATTCTTCATTTAAACATTTTGATAATCATATTTATTACTTTGTACAATGCTACAGATGGCGGATCAGAAAATGTGCCATCAACCGGAAATAATTCTTCAGATGCAACTTCCTCCATATTGGCTGCTCCACCGCTGTTTTTTCTTCTGTTTGTTGCATCCTGTATTTCAACCTTATCCTTGCCCTAATTTCCTCCAAAAGTCAGCCAGTTTTTCAGTATTTCTTAATACATACAAATATTATGTAGAATTTTCCATTCTTATATATTGAGGGAATATTGGGCTGGTGGATTTGTTGGAATGCGGAACAAGAATTACTCGGAAAATTGAAATTTTCTTTAGTTCAAGAATTCAATGTTCATATGTATGTTATAACCAAGAATAAAGAATTTGAATTTACGAAATTTGATAGTCAATTCTTGATCCAGATCTGAATTATGAACATTCAACTTTTTAGATCACAAGCTTCCAACTTTTAACTTAAAATTGATGATTCCAACCTTCAAGAACTATATATGGCACTCTCCAAAGCCAAGGGCTAAAACACGTGTGTACATTCTTTTAACTAAATCAAAAAGTCAAATTTTAAAATAGACGTAACAAGAGAAAATAAAAACAAAAAATAAAAAATAAAAATTCTAATTTTCTTTCTATTAAAAATGTGTCGTGCCTTCTTTTCATGTCAAAATTCAGCCCCCAAAGGCCTGTATATACAAGAGAAAAATCAATCTCCAAGTCCAAGTCAAATTAGGTCTCAAAAAGCCAAAATCGAAGAGTGGTAGTGGAAGAGATGATCATCGCTCCAAAATCGTCCCAAAATTTCCAAAATCACATAGAGAATTAAAGTTTTTGTTTGTTAAAATTGGAATTATGTTCTTATCCCCACAGCAAATTTTGAGTTAAAAGTAACATTTTTCTTTAACTTTTGTTTGTATTTTTAAAAAATTTTAAAGTATGGGTCGTCTGGCCTAATTTACCCAAAAATTATTCTATATGTTTGTCAAACTCGAGACCGCTATTTATTACGAAGGATTATAAATTTAATACTATCATAAATAGGGGGTATTTGAAAGATATTTTTATGTAAAAATGCATTTTTGAATAATAAATTGATGCGAAATGTGTGATTGAAAAATAAGAAATTTTTTTTGATTTACGTGTAATATTATTTTAATAAAGAATGTGTATTGAAAAGAAGAGAAAGAAAATACATTTTGAAAAAAAATGGGTACCAAACGGGTATTTTTATTCTTTAAATTAAATAGAAACACCATGTGAATAGAATTATGAAGCTTCAGTAATGAAATTTTGGACCATTTTACAATTTATTTCTTAGGACCTATAGGCCTTTCAAAATTGTATATCACTTAGATTTTGAATAATAGAGTGCAAGAAATTTATTGTGAAGTAATTGTACCAAATTTCTAGAAAACCTTGAATAGACTTGAACTTTATCACGATTTATATTGTATAAATTAATTCGATATGCATTTATCACAAGTTTACATAATTGATTCCTTGAAAGTAATCTGACGTGTGTAGAATATACAACTAACGCGGTAAAGTTAATTAACCAACATTAGTTTTTCTAAAACAATATAAAAAAAATCAATATAAAGAAATAAATTAGAGTTAGAAATGGTGGCCTTTAGAGAGCCCCTAAGAATACCGTCTTAAAGACATGTTAACTTCATTTTGTATAGAATTAACGATAAATACAAGTTCAAAATAAAATACTTTTAAGTTTACAATGCCCTTAACTACAGGGAAAAGTCGAACTAGGATAAAAAAAAAAAAAAAAAAAAAAATTAACCATCGCAGCTGCGCATGCAGTGCTCGTTCCCTATTTGCCAATCGGAGTTGAGGTTCAAACATGGTCATGCTCCGAATTTCTTGAATCCGTCCATAATTTTTTTTCATTTTATTTTCGTTTTTATGCTTTTCAATTTAAATTATATTTAAAAATAGTAAAAAATGAATAACGAGATAATAAATTAGAATATTTTAATTCCATATTGCCTCCTGAAAATCCTCGAAAGTGTTGGGATATAAATTGCCGTCCCGTCCCGTTGCTGCCATCCCTAAGTCGAACAAAACATTCTATTCTGTTGTCCAATATATATATATAATAATAGAAAATCGAAATAGAGTATTTTTCAAGTTTATCTAATTATAATAAAAATTACTATTATACTAGAATGTTGGATTTGAACGTTGGAAGTGTTTTAAAACAGTACTCTTTTAAGTCACCTTATATGATATCATGTAACTCATCTATTAAATAAATATTAATATAAAATAATTATAATACTAACGAAATGATAACAGGTTATAAATTTACTGTTACAATATAATAAAGAATTTTTAATTATAGGATTATTAATTTATATTCATAATTAAGCAAAATAATACTTTAAAAAATACAAAACAGTAGAAGGCTTGAAAGGTTTGTAATGAATTGTTCCAACTAATGCAGCCAAAATCGGATCAAATGGGTCAATTCAACTGGAAACTGGTTCGATCAAATGTAAGAAAAAAAATGTAATTAGTTAAAATAAGTGAAGACCATCAAAAACTCGTAAGTAGCACTTGTCGATTCATCAAAAGTTTATGTTTATTTAATTTTGATTTATTGGCGCAAAATCATCCTGACCTTTATCCCCATTGCAGTATACCCTTCTATTCTTTCATTTGGGCAGAAACCATATGACCTTTAAAGTGAGAAAGACCCCATTTTCTCGATAAAGTATTGTAAAATAGCGAATATACTTTCTTATTTAAATAAAACAAAAAAAAAAAAGATGAAGTAAATAAGTAAAGAATTAATTTCAACTATAGTCCTAAATTAAAAAAAAAAAAAAAATTTTGAGGTGCAAACTAGTCCCAATTATATGATTATATAAAAATTAAAAAAAAATTCATTTTCTCTCTCAACTACTCCATCTTCCAACCCCCACCACAACCACCAGAACCCCAACAAGGGCAAGCCACTGTCTCACAACTACCTTTAACGTCAAGGTAAGAGAGTTCATTCTTATCTCTTATTAACCAACGGTTCAATATTGAAAAACTTGAGGAAAATATAGCCGAATTTATTTAACTCGGGTGATGAAGAAATGGGTTCTTCGAAATTGCTTATAGAATCAATTTGTTTTGATGTTTTGGGTATCAAGGCTGGGGTAGCATTTACAAAAATTTAGAACTGATAGGTTTTTTATGATTTTCATTGATAGTATAGTGAGTATTTATACATACAATAGGATTATAAATGTCAATTCAAATAGGATCTTTGACAGGTGGTTTCTCCAAGTTTATCGGACTATTTATTTGAAGTGGATATGATTTGTTCTTCAGCTCGCCTTGTTGGAAATTTACTTACTCATGCACCGTGAAATTTAAACAAAATTTCAGTTCCTGTCAAGGATCTACTTTGTGTCTAGATAGAAACTGTGATAGAAATTATACTTTTCTTGAATTCGCCAAACTCCTTTGTTTTTCTTGAACTCCAACAATCACGATCTGCAATTCACAACTGTCCAATTGTTCACCTTTCAATAGAAATCCACATAGGGAACAAGACCGAGAGAATTGAAGTTTTTACCTTTCTTGTACTAGCAAAAATATGAATTTTTTTTACAATTTTTCAAATCCCAGTAGCTTATTTATATAAGCCCAAATGGGCTTAGTCCATCTCATAATTTAATCAGGTCTAATATTTTACTGATCCAATAATTAAATCTGATTCATGAATTAATTAATCCAATTAATTAATTCGTGCATACTAATAAGCAATCAATTAATTATTCAACAATGTTAATTAATTAATTAGTAAATTTCACTATTCTCGTTCTCCTTTTGTGTGTGACTTATTAGGTTCTCAATCGTAATATCTAACAACGTGAATTATTATTTTGATCTAATCAAAATTGATAAATTAAAACAACCCTTATAATTTTAATTAATTCACATTTGTCATCCCATATTAACATCTAGCAATGTGTCAGAGCAATTTATGTGACGAAAAATGTTACGTTGTATGACAAAACCAAATTTGTTCATTTACTGTGAAACTATGATCCATTCGTCAAAATGATCCGATTAATTACGAAATATGGAAGTATGTCAATTTTGATTATCGATCATATCTTTCATTCCACTATTAAACTAATATAGGTTGAAAACTCCTTTTTGACTTATGAATATACCTTGACTAAGGATTTCGTTATCAACTTAACTGAATAAAATATAGATTATAATCTCTTACTATTAAGAGTGACGAACCATCTATTGATCATCCGCTACCTTTACGTGATTCTTGACATACCTGAATAATGTCATATTAGTGGCTCTTGGCAGAACAATCAACATCACCAGAGTATGATTGTCCTCATATAAGGGCACTATGGTGACCTCAAGTTAAATGACTAATTCACTACCGAACATTAGAAATCAATCACTGACACTCAAATAATTATTCATGTGGAATCTCCCAACGAGTCTCCAATGTTTTGTTCTATAATAAAACATCTATGTATTCCTTTAAGTGCCACTAAACTTTAGCTTGTAAAATTAGCTACTTACTTCACGAGCAAGAAATGTCACACGTGATGATCTATCGGTAATAACGAAATTCGTATCTCATCTTTACTTATGACCACGGATGATTTAAGATTTAGCCCCTGTTTGATCCCCATTAAATTAAATTACATTACATTCCATTTTTCTCTCTCCTATTTTCAACCACACAATCTTCCATAAAATAATATTACACGTAAATCGAAAATTTTTCCTTCCTTTTCAACCACTCATTTTTCTAAAAAATATTATTCTCCCATTTTCATTTTTAGGTAATGGGGGTCAAACAGGGGTAGTATCATATGTAATTTGTATCTCACAATTAAAACTCTTTGTGATTAACAAAATTCCAAGTTTTGAATCTACCGACTCTATAATTTAGTTCAATTGAATATTAATTAAATAACAGATTTGTAATAAAATTGCATCAATTAAAAACTGAAAGTGCTTATGTCCAATGTTGATTGTACCTAGTCATAATACTTTCAAACTCTCACTTGCACTAGATCCAATTACTTATGTATCTAATATCATAAGAGTTTATATGACAATCATGTTTATACTGGGACAACTCATTGTCAGTGGATCTGGAATATTATCGATAGTGGGAATTCATTGCTTATTTACGTCATTTCTTTGTATTATCTCTTCGATGAGATGATACTGCTTTAACACATATTTGAATTATTCATGAGATCTTAATTCCTTAGCTTGCGTGATGATTCTATTATTATCACAATATAAAGGCATGTGATCAACAATATTA